TCCTCCTCTTCCTCCTCCTCTTCCTCCACCTCCTCTCCTCCTCCTCCACCACCTTCTCTTCACCTTCTCCCCCTCCTCCTCCACCACCTTCTCCCCACCTTCTCCCCCTCCTCCACCACCTTCTTCCTTCCTCCTCGACCTCCTTCCTGTATCACTGTTCAACAATGAATAATAAACACCAAGTGAGTAAATGTCCGGGGGTAATTGCCCGGGGGGTGATTGTCCGGGGTGTATTTGTCCTGTATTTTTCTACCCATAAGATGCGCAGATGATAAGATTTAACATAAGTAATTTAAGGGGAAAAATTTAAAGCAGACTAACCTACCAAAAATTTTGCACCCTTATTTAGCCTTAATCACTGACCTCCAGTATTATTTACATTGTTACACAGATAGTGCCCCAGACGACTCAGCAATATAACACAAGGCTGATCAATGCTTATATATAACGTAAAAGTAAAAATAGAGAAAATGCATATGATTAGCTTTAAAGTTGCAAGAAGCATTGTTGCCTAAAAACATGTTGCTGTGAATGCCAGTGCCATGTTTATATAATCAGTAACACGTTCAATTAAATACAACTGGGGTCATTTTAAAGCTGGAAATTCTTATCGAAAGATCTTTGGCTGGTAAGATGCAGGATGTTTCTAGATGCACACTTATGCATCTTATAGGATTGCATCCTATGAGCCAGTATGTACAGTACTTGGATTCGTACTGATATTAGTTCCTTCATATTGATTTTTGCTACCCTACTGACCTACATTTAACAAAAATTGGCTACATACATGTGCACACGCTAAATGAAGAGCATAAAAAATTACCTCTTTTTCTGTCTTGTCTACTTGCATTGCCTCCTCTTCAACAACCTCAACCCTAAAACAATAGAAATCCCTCTGAGCCCTAACATCAATTAATGACTAAAATAGTAAAATGCGTTTCAAAGTGAAGATTTCGAACAGTCTTTCTGACCGTTAAAGAATTTTTCCAACCATTATGTACAATATTACTGGTATTGCTTGCTGAACAGCAAGTGTCTACTGTAAGGCTAACATTTCTTTGAGCACTCTCACCTTAGTACTTTCACTAAAATATGCAATAATGAAGATTTCTCTAAAAAAAAGTCCCTACACGTGCTCAATGGCAGCTTGCATCAAGAAACAGAGATGCTGTACCAGTCTACAACCACTACATCACTCAAACGAAATTCACTTTTGTCTGCTGGTTGCCAATTAGAAGTTAATTGTTGCGATACTGAAGAACTAAGTAAGAGAGGTATGGGTGGCTGGGGTCGGTGGATCATAAAGAAACTTATACTTACTTTTGAGATTTTTTGTCACTTTTAGGTGATTCGACTTCCACTGAATTCTCCTTCCCATCTGTCCCACGGGCAACAGGCAAAACATGCTAAAAATAATAAAAATGATTTTTTTACAATAGCAGACCACCATTGAACTTGGACACCATATTATTAGGACATCAGCTGGACCACAAAGTAAGAGTTAAAAGCATAATAGGCCCATTGATTATGCAATGTTGACGAATGCTAAGGGGTTCAGTGGACAGTGAATATGAAGCTGTCATATGAAATATGACATTGTGTAAAAGCTGTCATATGTAATATGAAGCAGTGGACAGCTATATGAAGTGGGACAGAGAAAGAGGACTGTTTGGAAGTTTTGCTGGCAACTGGCAGCTGTAGTTAATAAAAAGGGCCAACGCTCCATTACGAGTGTTCCCAACTTTGATATCATTAATGATTGATAATCCTAACCCTAACCCTAACCTAAATGACATTAAACCACAAACTAATATATGACCATGACCATATATATATATATATATATGTTAGTATGACCATTAATGACATTAATGTTGGGAACACTCCTAATGGAGTATCACCCATAAAAAGACATGACAAGCTGTGACTAAAGCAGTCAATGCCATATCCAGCAAGCCACAAACTCAAGATGAGGCGAGTGTATGGGTGTGTGTGCGTGTGAGGTGATGTAAGTGTAGGTGAGGTGAGGTGAGGTGAGGTGGGGTGTGTGTGCTCAACTTTCATGTCTGCAAGGAAAAACTCAACCTATCTTTGCCTGATTTGGCTGGTTCCTTAGATATTTACATTACTCAACCTTTTTATTTGCTCTTGCCATGAAATCAACTAACCGACCCTACGGAGCGTTGTTTTTCTCTGCCCTATATGTCCAAAACCTCAGCTTTATCATTCAAGATGTATGATCCACACAGTAAATGATCAGTGTGGGTGTGTGTGAATGCGTGCGCGTGTATGATGATGATGGAGACATACCTAAATGCCGGTTTGTGAGTATAAACGTAAACCATTGTAAAAATTTACAATTTCAGTCTTTTATTTTTTTTAAATGCTGCGGTATCCAGGGAATGATGCGGGCCTGTAATTTGCCTGGCGGCCCTGTAAAATCCCTTACCTACAGGCCCGGCAGGCCTGTGAATTTTCAAACTAATTTCTACCCCTGTATAAATATTTAATATGAAATCACTGACATGCAATTTCAATTTGTGATGTGTAAACGTTTGCAAAATTGTCAATAATATGTCCGCTCTTCTCGATATTAGCGATTTGAGCTTACAAACATTACAACACGATAATTATATATATTATTATTTTAAGCAAACTTCATACCTTTGCTTCAGGTTGTGTTGACTGTGACCGTGACCGTGACCTTGAAACAGAGCTATCTTTCGATCGAGACCGTGATCTAGAAAATGACCGATGACGCGAAAATGATCGTGATCTTGGTGGAGACCTTGACAGTGATCTGGGCAATGACCTTGAATATGATCGTGATCGACTACCTGACCATGATCCTGACCTTGAACTAGATCCAGACCTGGATCTACCCCTAGAACTTGCCCGTGACCTAGACCCTGAAAGGAATTATGAGAGTGACTACACAGTTAAACAAGTAAACAACTGTGTAATAGGACTATATAAAATTACACATTGACTCAAAGTATTTCCTTTCTCACAATAGTATACAACATTTTACTAAATAATTCTATTTGGTTCTAATATGCACCCAACGTTATGAATAGCTTGTGAAATGAGATGTACCTCTGTCTTCCCTAACTTCTTCTTTCTCAGCTTCTTTGCCATCTGTCTCAACCTCACTGACTTCTTCTTTTTTAACTTCGTCCACTCCTTCTTTCTCCATAACCTTGACTTCTTCTTTCTCAGGTTTCCTGACTTCCTGTCTTCTTTCCGTAGACTCAATGTTTAAGCTCTCCTGTTTCACCTTATCTATTTGTTCACAATCCCTTTGTGGACTTTCCATCTCTTGTTGTTCGGTGACCTGATCCGAATCCTGAGACGGTGTATTAGCCTCATCCTCATGCATCTCAATTATTGGACCTCTTTTGAGTTTCACCTTTTCTGGTTTCCTTTTTGGTTTATCTTCATGTACTGCCTGCAGTTGACTTGTGTTCTGTAAGGAACGAACACCTACAAGATCAGCATTTTCTTCAAGTGTATCTTGGTTCTCTTCTCTTCTTCTCTGTTTTCCCTTTCTCTTCCTTTCAGCCATGTCCTCAATTAACGACGTGTCTTCTGTTTTGTTTTTGTCACCCACCTCATCAACTGTCTCCTGCCTCTTTGCACTGAGTTTCTGTTCAATATCTTCCTCTTGGGTATCTATGACAAAAATAGGGTTGCATATCAATTAGTAACTTATAGATCAGCTCAGCATGGATGTGCTGATCGGATCAACTTACAATAAAATACAAGTAATTCTCATGCATAAGATCAATTTTATTGCCATGATATAAGGTGGAGAAAGAAATCTTCATGCCTTCTGATTTAATAGGCAAACACTATACAGAAAAAGTATAATTTTAACATAGGTTGTAAAAAATGGTTTGATATAACTGCCACGTTTATATTCCCTCTATGTATGGTAATGCCTTGCTTGAGGATAAGATAGTATCAATTCCTTAAAACGTGACATAAAATAGCCGACAAGCAATCCTGTTATACCCATCCATGGTAACACACCCTTATTACGAGGGAAAAATAATTTTGTGGAGGAAACCCTCAACGAGTAGTAAGTTCTATTGCATGGACATGATATTTTTTTTAGCTAATAACTAATATGGTTATATCTACGAAACACAACAATGATATTCGCTCCACATCATCACCTACCCTTATACTGCTCTTGGACTTCTTTTACAGATATATCCTCTTCAGCATGTGGCTTGCTTCCATCACTTTGCTCACCTGACAGATTCACTCCATGCTTCTCCTGACTTCCTTTAGGAGTTGCTGTGTCTTCCGGCAATTCTATAAAACATTTTACATTATCAAATTCAATTACATAAAATATTGAGATAAAATTAATATAAAATCCAGAAATTGTCCTAACCATGTATTCCTTGTGGAGGACCTTTCATTTCTTAAATTTAGTGAACAAATGTGCAGTACTAACACGAATGATTTGTGACATAAAATAAACTTTAAAACCTTCAAATCGTACACAGTACATTCGCCTAGCATCGTGCGAAATCATTTCCTTGTATACACCCGCAATCCGGAGATATAGATTAAAACGTACGACACGATTTTCCATTCTGCTGCCAGCAAACTCGATGCGTTTTGCGCCGAAATTTAAACAAAAGACAGCCACTAACCACAGCTTGCTCTCTCGGCAAGGCGGTGTGGCTCGCAGGGAGATTGCGGTGGGCGTGCGTGCGTGGGGGGCATACCAGCTGTATGCCGGTATGTAGCTGTATGCCTGGTCAAAGGTTATCTTGCCGAGTGTTGCGTCGATGTCCAATCTTCCTGCGAGCCACACCGCCTCGCCGAGAGAGCAAGCTGTGGCTAGTAGCTGCCTTTTGTTTAAATTTCGGCGCAAAACGCATCGAGTTTGCTGGCAGCAGAATGGAAAATCGTGTCGTACGTTTTAGTCCGGATTGCGGGTGTATACGAGGAAACGATTTCGCACGATGCTAGGCGAATGTACTGTGTACGATTTGAGCTCAAGTTGGATGAGTTACGCGTAGTAAATCGTAGGTATTTTAAGGCTAGTAAATAACGAATTTCCCTTGTTTATTGAAGTCACACTCCTTCCCTATTATCTACTCCTGAAATGATTCACAACAGGCAAGGTTTACACACTCTTGTGCCCTCGGCGATGCAGTGTGGCTCGCTGGGAGATTGGACATCGACGCAACACTCGGCGAGCTAATCTTTGACTTATTTACAGCTGGTATGCCCCCCACGCATGCACGCCCACCGCAATCAGCAGCAGCTCCAGCTCTAATCTCCCAGCGAGCCACACCGCATTGCCGAGGGCGCAAGAGTCGTTAGTAGCTGCCTATTGTTTCAAGTTAGGCGAGTTATGGAGTTGATTTGCTGCCAACAGAATGGAGAATCGTGTCGCACGTTTTAATCTGTATCTCCGGATTGCGGGTGTATACGAAGAAACGATTTCGCACGATGCTAGGCGAATGTACTGTGTACGATTCGAGCTCAAGTTGGATGAGTTACGCGTAGTAAATCGTAGGTATTATAAGGCTAGTAAATAACGAATTTCCCTTGTTTATTGAAGTCACACTCCTTCCCTATTATCTACTCCTGAAATGATTCACAACAGGCAAGGTTTACAGATAAGGCCAAAACAAAATACAGGTGTGGTTACTGTTTCCCGACCGACCCTATTTATTCCCAGCGACCCTAAACATTTTATTGTCAATTTTCTTTAGTCAAAAATAAAAAATAAAAAAAAAATATGAATTGGACAGTTCCTGCTTCAAAAGGCATAACGCACATCCTTCGGACATGGTTTGTAAATAAAATATTTCAAGAAAATAAAATGTTTCCCCTACCTACCTACCACATTTTTTCCCGGCATGTAACGGTAACCACACATATATTTTGTTTTGGCCTAACTAACCCAGGATTAACCTATGTTGTAATTAAACGCATTTTACTTGCACTATTTCAATAAGCTGGTCTGATTTGTCTGATTGTTTGTAAATGGCGAACGTAATTTACTAAAGTTAAATGAAGCGGGGTTTCTGAAAAACAATCTTTTAAGAAGTGAATTACGATTAAAGTGAATGTATACACATATCAGTAGCAAGGTAAAGCCATGTAGAAGGGAACGGTAGGTTTTTTTTCGCGCCAATAGCGGCGTACGGGCCGCATTCGCAGCGCGTGCATTTTGCATGCGATCTCACAAAATTTCGTCTGATGTTCTGCATTTCAGCACAGGCTAATTACACGTAATATATCGTAAGCTGCATTGACTGATTCACGTATGGTCGATAGCACAATTTAGTACCTTAAACCTGTCAAATTAGTTATACATAAGAATATACTTGGGGTCACTATGATTAGTTTACACTTTACAGTGTAATCTACACCTTCGACTTGCTCTCAACTCCTAAAACAGGCGTATGGCAAGGATAACTGTATAGAATTTAAACCGTTCTATGTGTGTAATTTGGTAATTACTGCACAAATCCTAAGTTCAGACGATACACAGATACTATTGTGACAAAAGCAGAAAAGGTTACATTATGTACTAGGCGAAAGACAGCCCAGAATGCGAATAATCAATACATAACACCGGCGAATTTGGCTAATAAATCCTATCAACAAACATATATCTATGCATAATTACACGAACTATGTATAAATCCATCAATAACCAACATTTCTTGACAAAACTGGGTTATCAATATAACGTCAAACCGTTGCAGTAATGATCAGCAGCTATAATGCTGGTAAACGGATCCACTCATTCATGCACGGGTAAATGTGAAGTCAGAGCTACGCAAACAAAAGACCACCAACAAATTTGGAAAATTGAGTGCTGCCATCTAGTGACAATCTCGGCCACATTTGGTGTAAGGCTGTAAGCAGAGCACGTATAGCACATATACGTGCTCTGCTTAGTACTTACATTGCTTGTACTATATACGTACTTCTTTATATTACTACGCTTCTATTATATACGTGCTCTGGTATAAGATTATTTACGCCTGTAGTACACTTTAGGTCATTTCCACGCAACTTCCTAGCATAATACAACTTATGATTATTTATTATTTATATATTTTGACCAAAATAGCGACCTGATATTGGGTATAACCCTTGGGTATAACCAGTGTTGCCACTTTCCCAGTTCTATATATTTGAAAGCATTTCTCAGTTGTCAGTACACAAAATATTTTCCTTCACAAGTTTGTCTGTAAAAATCTCTATCTGTACACGAATACATGAAGGTACATATGCACATCACATGAATCTATGCAATGCGGTTAAAATAAATGTAATACACCATACATATTCACAGGGCTCGAATTTTGTTACAGCACTGACGGTAAATGACCTCCTTACTTGTGCTTTAAACATTGACTGATGTTCACAGTGGGGAAATACAACGGCTGCCCAACCTGGTTTGTATCTGTGCCCTTTCTTAAAATTTAATGTTGTGCAGGTAGCTGATCCTGTCCAACATTAAAGGTGTTGGTAAAACACAACCTGTATTCGTGCTAATTATTTAAAGGACACATTTGCCTTGTAACCCTAACAATTTCTTATGAAACCAAAGACAATGCTTACTTTGCCCTACAAAATTAAAGTTGACCCAAGAGTGAGAACCGAATAAATTAGCTTTTTATTTACATCAGAAACAAGAATTAGTTGTAGATTTTAGTGAAGATGTTATGGCCCTAAGCAGTGTGAACTGACATTTCATTATATTTCTAAAACCATACAATTCCCAATAAGCTTGTCCCTAGTCAGCATATAGTTTGCATATACTTTTGATAATAGTGAATGCTCCGCTGCTTCACAATATATAAATGTATTGAAATTCAGCAGATGCCTGAAAGTATGTACGTGCAAGTCTAAATTTTTTTTTTTATCTATATGATACATTTGTTTCTACTGTGAATAAAAACTCAATAAATTTTTTGGTACAATACTACACTTTGATCATCTTGGTAATTCCAAGATATAGCATTCACAGCTAATGATATAAAAAATTGAAACCATTAGAGAATTTTCCCTACATTTAATTATTGTTGTACATAAAGTTAGTTACCCTACCAGTGATAGTAGCAGGTTCCACATCTACTTCCATCATGGAGCGATCGCGTTCTTGGATGCTCTCATCCAGCTTTGGTGGTCCTTCAGGTACTTCTTCCTCCTCTTTCATCCCCGACAACTGTACTTCGCTCACACCTGCAGAGTCCAGATTCAACACGGCATAAAAATGTATTCTGCGCATGAATTTTTGACACCAAACGCATAACTGTGAAACCCATTATTACGGCACACCAACACACAATCATGCCAGAATAATGCAAGACATTTGCTATACTGGTACTAGGAAAAGACCCATTGGCTAATTAACGCCTGTAGTGAACTACCACATGTAGCTTCGTGCATGTCATAGAAGGCTCCTGCTGTTAAACCCTCACAAATGTTTACAAGAATTACTTATGGTAGACCTACCTTCTCGGTATAATGTTGGTGGTCCTGCACTCTGCACTTCCTTTGCTGGTTTTGCAGCTTGAGGAACAACGATGGGATGACTGTGTCTACCAGCTTCAGCCCAATAATCCCTCGGCTTTCGTGCTCGCTTAATTTCTTCTGCAGGTTTTTCCATAATAATGGGTTTTTGTTGCATAGATTGGTCTTCATTCGACTGATCTCGTTGTTTTGCATTAGGCTCCACTGTTGCAGTATTAATGGAACTTTCAGTCAGCTTGTTCTCATCTGACTGTACCTGTGCTTTGCCAATAATACATGGGGCTTCTCCTGATGCTACACTGATATCATGCACCTTGGTTGTCTTAGTTGGCTCTGGAGGGGCAGACGAAGAATCTTGCTGCTTGGATATTTCTGGAGAGTCAGACCCACTATCCTGCTGTTTTGATATTTCTGGAGAGGTAGACCCATCATCCTTCTGCTTGGTAATTTCTGGAGGGGCAGACCCACTATCCTTCTGCTTGGAGATTTCTGGAGGGACAGACCCACTATCCTTCTGCTTGGGATATTTCTGAGGGGCGAGACCCACTATCCTTCTGCTTGGAGATTTCTGGAGGGACAGACCCACTATCCTTCTGCTTGGATATTTCTGGAGGGGCAGACTCACTATCTCTCTGTTTGGTAATTTCTGGAGGGGCAGACTCACTATCCTTCTGCTTGGATATTTCTGGAGAAGCAGACTCACTATGCTTCTGCTTGGATATTTTCTGGAGAAGCAGACTCACTATCTTCTGTTTGGTAATTTCTGGGGGGGGCAGACTCACTATCCTTCTGCTTGGATATTTGCTGAGGGACAACCCATCATCCTTCTGCTTGGATATTTCTGGAACAGGACTCACTATCATCTTTTTTAGGTACCTCTACAGGGGCGGAGCCAATTTCAAATGTTGGATATTTCTCTATGTGGTAGATCCACGTTCCTTCTCTTTGATATTTTGTTCTGGGCAGTACTTCTTCCTGCTTATTTGCAGCAATTTGTTGTGTGTCGTTCCACTGCGTCATTATCTTTAGCCTCAGATTCAAGAGGTGGAATACTGCCACGAGAAAGTCTTGTTCGTCTTCTTCCTCTTGTGCGCTCATTCTCTTCACTTATGGTACATGCTTCTCTTCCTTGTTGCTTGAATTGTTGTCAGGCAGGTGTGCTACGCCTCAAAGCTTGCTACCTGCTATAATTGTACCAAATATTAAGTATCTGCGTGGAATTTATCATGTAGGATTAATATTCAAGGATATTATATACAATTATTCATTTAATCAAAATGTAATGGCCTTAATCATGAGCTTTGCACATCATTACTTTAAGACTTTTAACTACCTACGTTCATGTGTAATAGCCATAGCAAATTGACGTCATAATGATTTATGTTAGCACTCAACGCTGCGCAATCACACTCTTAGAGCTACTTGTTATAAATACATTAGCATGAATAATCCCAGTAATATCCCTGATATGATAGACTAAACAAACGTTCCTGACCGCTCCAATTAAAGATAATAACAGGAACCCCGATGTCTACGCGCCACCGCGATTTAACGCGAATTCGGGATATAAACGAGAATGAGTCCGTTGGAACCTACCTTTTTTTAGCTCCTCATATAAGCCACGTATATATATAACCCGATTTGTGGCGACACCGCTTTTTTCGGCGCATGACATTTTATGCGACCCCAACCATCGGCCGTTATAACGGGGCTACCTGTATATATATATACTATATATATATATATATATATTATATCTGTGTGCGTGCAACTGCGTGCTCGTGTGTATAAGTAACACCCAATCTTCCCAAACGTGGCAGGATCCAGTAATACCACAGCATCCTCTTTTCTATGCGTGTTGCTATCCTGTCTGACCTGTCCGGCCTGTCTTAGCATGGAGGGGCTGTAGGAGTAGTGGCGTGCTGTACCTGCCTCTTCAAGCCGACTCCTTCACGGTCATCCGACTCACGCTACCACCATGACTTGTAGCGCCGACAGCAACTCCTGCTTGCAATAGTTGGATACCATAGGTGCTACAAACACTGCATCATATTATATACTATAGGCTTTCCTTTCTCTCTAGCGATCGCCACGCCGTCCTCTGCGCCGGAAAAAAAGCTGCAGTGCGCTTAAACAAATGTGTGCATTGTGGCTAAAAGGATAAAGCACATGCTGGCCAAAAGGAAATAAACAATTAACTTTGAGCACTGTTTTATTGGCCAAATGCTCAAGAATGTTTGTCAAGGGTCAGCTGACCTACCTCTGGCCCTATTATTTTGGGGGGTCAGCACTCAGCAGCCACTCAGTCCAGCAAATTATACAGCTTCCGGCATGTTTTTGGGATTGATCCCTATTTATATGTCTCATATAAACTTGTTCAATCCTATTGTGTTGTGTGTTTATTGTCTGAGTTGGCTTTTGGCTAAAAGTTTTATATGGTTCATTTAGCCCACGGTGGCTAAGACTAAATTACTGCTAGAGGAAGCTTAGTATACACTATTATTTAATTTTTAAACATATAAAATGGATAATTGTTAAAATAAGTGAGTCCGATCAAGGAATATTCTTACGAATGCAGAATGCCTTTGTTATTTTTTACATAATGACAGATGTACTTATAATTACCAAATATCTTTTTCTAACATCATATAATCTTAAAATCCAAAAAGTATTACCTTCCTCCATTTTCCGTTTTTGTTCCTGTTCTGAATTTTCGAAGCGCTCTTCTGCTGCTCGTGGCCTAAATATTGCTTGATCAGAAAACATGTCTTTATCCGAATTGCTTGATCTTTTTAAAGCTATAAAAAAATAACAAGTCTTATAGGTGTAGCAATATTAGTAACAGACCAAGCGACCATGAATAATTTTCAGTCTACTGATAAAAAATGAATTACCGACTGTACAGGCAGTTACGGTATTACGTTATGTTAAAAGTTACCTAAGAAACTAAAAACAAGACAGGCAGGGTGCTGCAAATATTTTTTCCCACTTGCCCTTTTGGGCAATTGGGTTATGAAACTGGTTTGCCCGGAGGCAAAGATCAGCTTGCCCGAAAAACATAAAGAAATACATAAGATTTTTTTTCATATATGAATTTAAATGCGTAAATAACGTAAAATGAAAGGTCCAACTAGTCAACATCCAGCATTTCACTTAACGCGCAGGTAGAAAGTTGAACAGCTGATACGAGTTTGTATATAAAATATATTCATGTTGGGACACAGCACGCAGTTTGTTTAAATTTTTTAAGTGTCAGCTAATTATCAACAAGAGCCGCAGAGCGTCTGGGGGTCATCTGAGTCTGTTGCTACTTGCTACAGTTATAAACGTAACATTTAAGTTCGTGCGTAGTGACACCTTTGTTAGGCGCAGATATGCAAATACGCCAGTTGCGTACACATCATTTCAGCAACCTTCTGCATTCTGCATACCTCCCAAATCCCATTGCGTTGATACAAATCGCCGTGCCTCGGAAACTCCTGTTTTATGGTGCATTGTGACCCTAAACCCTAACCCTATTAAAATAATAATATTTTAATTGTTGTAACAAATTATTTGTTGTATGAAATTGTTGTAAATAATCATGTAAATATTTGTCTTAATTGGAAAGAAATAGTTAAATAGATAAAAGATACAGAAAACAAGTAAATAATAAAAAATCTGATGGGATTCGATCCAAGGACCTTTGAGCCCGCTAATCCTTGTGCTGCTAGCCGTTGGGCTATCGAGGCATATTGGCTTTCCAGATTTATGGATGCTTCATGAATATGAGAATCACTGCTGAAATCATTGAGGCAGTTGAGTAATCCATGTTTAACCCTTCTCCTGAGGGTCAAAGCGGTTACAGACACTTACTCTCTCCACGTCAGTGGTAAGTACATTTCATGGTCTTTCAATAAAGTCATAAAAATGGTAGGTCGCGTGCTGAATACAAAAAGTTTTTCACTCTGTCCGTTAGGGCCATGTCCTCAAAAAATGTCTGATATCTGACCTTTCCCCCAACTGCCCTTTGACCTCCAATTTCGCACTGTGATGGGTTCCTGCCCATCACACTATACACGAATATTAAGAGTCGAGCCGTTCAGATTTGCTGCCGCAATTCCGTTATTGCCTCCTATACCTTAAGTTAAGGGGCGAAATATTCCCCCTCCGTTTACACATCTTGACCTTTGACCCCTGACCCCCAAATCGGTCATCCCGAGTCCTTTTCATGATCCACCCGACGTCCCATAATATCGTGGACCGTACGTTGAGTGGTTAAGATTTGTGCCCAACTGTGACGCTTGCACGCACGCACGCTCATGCGATTCTACAAGCTGCATCTGAGTACGTCAGATGAGCTAAAAACCCACCACACTCTCACAATAAATTAATAAAATATCGCTTCACGTTTATTTGGGGCTGGATCGTATTATTCTTAGCAACACCTGCGCCGGTGGCCGACTTGCCTCGCAGCGCCATCTAGCAAGTCAAGTTTTTGATACAACCCCATTTCAAGCTACTTGCCCAGGGGCGAATTTAGATTGCCCCGGCAAGCGGGTTTGTCGCCGCCCTGACAGTGGTATCCTGAATAAGGGAATCAATTCTCCTCTCTATATTAGGCACATTAGTCATTACTGGTAACTTGTATTCGATAATATATATATATATATATATATATATATATATATTATATATATATACCACAGTTCTCTCCAGGCCTCTAATGATCTGAGTTGAGTCTGACATGCCTTCAATGCTGAAGTTAATTAGCGACATCCCATAAACCTTCCAAACATGCCCTAATTGCTTAATTGATTTGCAATTTCCAGCTTTGTTCACATTCAGGGCTCGAATTTCCCTATTGCTAACTCGCAAAATGCGTGTCAATATTATTATTATTAAGAAATTGCGAGTAGAAAATATAAGCACTTGCTATTTTCTGCGAGTGGAAATTTATAGCATACACCGCATACATTATCACTGTTGATCACGGAAAGAATATATTTTTCATAAATCACAACATAAGCTCATTCCAACGATTAGTAGTAATAGTATGCCCAAAAAGTGTATGTAAATATTCAAAAAAGTAAATTTGTTGTACAAAAAAATTGCACGTTTAGAATTCATTTTAGCACAGTAGATTTTTTAGGCACTCCGCATTTTATGCCCAAGTGGCTAAAATTGCGAAATTCGTCCGCTGACATTTGACAATTCCAACACAGTCATGCATTTCACAGCATGATGTACATCTTCAATTGGTACAACCACCTCCCGAGTCCTCCCCATCTGTCCATAAATGTCGTCCCTTCTAAAATTCCAGGGAAGAACCCTATATGTGTGCATGCATGCATGCATGCTTTGGGCATGTGTATGCATGTGTGCAACTAATAACAAACTTACATACTCAACAAGTAAACTTACTCCTAAATTTGGAACATGATCCTCATCACTTTCAACAGCAGAACTCTGAAGACTTTCTAGTGTCAATTGCTAGAAAACAAACCAGAAAACATCTCACTGACTGAACAATCCAACTACTGCATCATAACTCAACTTTAGGTCCAATTTCCAACATTTTTTTTTTACATGAGATAATATGTATTTATAACAAAACTGGAAATAAGAACTGAAATACCTGTATCATTTTAATTACTAAAAACTAGAGGTGCGCAGTATTACCGGTATACCGCGGTACGTGACCTGTACCGGTACGTACCGCGGTACTTTGTGTGGTGTAGTGGTGTACCGGCTTCTTTAGCTATTTTTATCACATCAATTTTATTTCACTTCCTCGTCATTGCATAGCTTTATAAATTCATCTCCGTCGATCGACACCATTCACGCTATATTCGCGTATCTCCAGCACCTATTCTATATGCCTAGTAAATAGTCTGCGCTGTTTTATTTGTACATACTTCATTTAAGTTCATTACTTCAGACTGGTTCTAGCCGTACGACACTCCTACTCTCGCTCATGTTTGTTCCAAAGGAATTACAAGATATAGCAGATTACAAGAATAACGCGACGCGGCGACTGCCAGGCGTTTTTCTATCAGCGCGGCAGCGGTGCCTTTGATGGGAGAACGGGGCGCGATCAATAAAGCCCGCCACAAGTCTTTGACCTTCGAGTTATATTCTTCTGACATGTTCTTGAAATCGCGGTATACCGCGGTAATACCACACAAGTTGACTTGGTAAGACATCACGGTAAGACACTTTGGTAAAATACAAATTTCGCGGTACCCAACTACTAAAAACATGCAACTTTAATCAAACAAACTGAATTTCTACCACTAGAGGAAGCCATGATAAATCCGTACGCATACTAATAATTCTCAAGTACAAGTTATTTAAGATTGATAGTCTACTATTCCATTTAAAAAATAATAGATTAGGGGATCATGTACTCACAAACCTTCCCCAAACCAGAACTTAACATCATAAGTAGTGATTAGATTTACAGTAATACCCCTTGTTACAATAACTGGTGTTACGTAAAATCACCTATATATTAATTGTAAATTATGACAACTTTGCTCACAACACAAAACGAAAATACACTTGTGTTATTTTTAATGGGGCGTTTTCTTCTACTCAAAAATCCATTTCCCGTACTACATCATTAAATAATTAATATATATGTTTCACAGTGCGCACTTGCACTCATAATTGTGCATTCATAATATATATGCTGGCTCATATATATTGGCACTCATAATTATGCTTGTATTAGGGTAGCTTGAGGGATTATCTCCTTCTTTCCCTGAAATCTTTTGTAAGAATGAATCTCAAATTATATCGGAGTAAATGGGTGATTCACAATACAGAATTTTGTGTTACAAAGGATTCTTGTAGAATGCATTATGTTTGTAATGTGGATCGTTACTGTAGCAGGGGTCGAAATAAGCGATGGTCCGATGGTCCGGGGCCATCAAATAATCAGGAGGACCATCAGATTTGGTCAATGGTCAGACAGACCTTTTGAATATTTTGGTCCCATTTAACGGTAAATTTCTTGCACGTCGCATTACTTTTAGAGAACAATTTGAAATTTAGGAGGACCATCTAAAATTTAGGACCAACTAAATTTCAAACTAGATGGTCCCGTGGACCATCTCTTTTTTCTCTCCTTATTTCTACCCGCAGCCGGCTGAAAGGGGTTGTAGGATATGTTTACTAAGCACTTCTAATTTTAACATATATTTTACGATATATTACGATATAAAGTAATGATGGCAAAAACCTAAAAGTGCCCTAACCCTAACCTAACTCTAACCTAATTGAATTTAAAAATATATGTTAAAATTAGAAGTGGCTATAGTAACATATCCTAACACCCGCTTTCAGCAGGCTGCTTTTCTACCCCTGCCTCGTAGTGCAGGTCTAAGGGCACAGTAGACCTCTAGGATTTTACTGGCATACAAACTGTACTACTGTTATAACCAAAATCAGTCTAGTACCCACACGGTATTTGTTATTAGATACCTAATTTAATTGTTATAGATTAATACACATCAACGTTAGCGGGAAATTTGAAGCGGCGGCGCATGACACCCCGCGGTGCTGCCGACCGCCGAAAAAGTTGCGTCAATTTGTCAATTTATTTTGCACTGTTTACAGACCGAAGAGCTAATCACAAAGGGAATTAATATTTATACCAGTAACATACTATTTAAAACGCGATACGATATTCATGTTTAGGAGCAAATTTATCCATAGTATAACTGGCAAACTATATGTGCTAACTTATAACGCATATTACAGATACGCCTTTTGCTTTTAAATGGAATACAATAAGAAACACCTTTGGGTCTGGTAAGCCCTTGGCTGGAATGTGTTTCGCGCAACTTATCAAATCGTGAAGGCGCTTGAGGGCGCCAACCCCGGTGCGTTGTCGCATCAAACTGTAGTCCGTCTAGTTTTAAAAAATTTTTGTTAATATTTCTAATGGTGATTGAACCAATATGAACACTTTTATATATAGCATAATTATAACCTAAATTAGCTGAAAATAAACCTAGAACCTAGAGTAAACTCTCCCTTTAATCAAAAATACAGTGCCATCATGTAATAACTCCCAATTATATTGCCTGATACTATTCTATCAGGATTTCGCGAGATTCTCTGAGTAAAGGAGGTTGCACCCATTGGAACGCAAGTTATTCTAACAAGTTTGAGCAGTCTCCTACAAACAGATCCAAGATGTATGAAGCAAGTGGTCTACTAATTTGGCGCTTATGTTATGATTTAACACCTACTCGTAATTACATCCCGTGTTTGTGGCTGCGCAACGTGGCGTGGCGGTGCCTGCAGTGATATATGCTGTAAAGGAGCATCCCAGTACAGTAGCGTCTCATAGGCGATAACACACAACACAAACATTCTTTACATTGTCGTTAAAAAATCGGTTGTAAACATGATGTAATTATATACCGCCACCGGTACTCATAATACTGCAAATTTATCAGTGGAACGGTCCACTACTGGCACTAGTAGTATTGAAGAGACGAGCATCTATTGGGATCGTATCATAGAATACAGGAGCTCATGTCTGTGAGTAGCGAAATTAACATTGTCTTTACTGTAGTAACATCGCCGTCATCGGCGCTTGTAAGTTGTAATATTGGGCGAATGCAGTGGCATTCGCGTACTCAGCGTAGCCATTCAAAAATATACTAGGAAACTGAAGTACATTTTACCATTATTTATCATGTTACACGTGATATATACTCACTCGTTTTAGACGTGCTGCTAATTCCTTTTTGCTGCCACTCTTAGATAACCCTCTTTTCTCAAGTTCAGCTTTTAAATCAGTTACACGGAGTGTGCTTAATTCCCTACCGTCAACAAGAACCTGCTCAACCTCCGCCATTTTTCACATCTCTTCGACAACAACGCCACCTTTAGGGAAATTCTATCCCCCGGGCGTGGAGGGACAGTACCGCAATGTGGCAGCACTAGTGTTAGGATTAGGGTTAGGATCAGGGTTAGGGTTAGGGTTAGGGTTAGGGTTAGGAAGAGGAAGCCTAGTATACCACTATTATTTAAATTTTACACATAAAATGGGATACTGTGAAAATAAGTGAGTCGATCAAGGAATATTCTTACGACGCAGAATGCTTTGTTATTTTTTACATAATGAAGATACTTATAATTACAAATATTTTTCTAACATCATTTAATCTTAAAATCCAAAAGTATTACCTTCCTCCATTTTTCGTTTTTGTTCCTTCTGAATTTCGAAGGTCTTCTGCTGCTGTGCCAAATATTGCTTGATGAAAACATTCTGTCCGAATTGCTGATCTTTAAGCTATAAAAAATAACAAGTCTTATAGGTGTAGCATATATATAAAGACCAAGCGACCAAGAATAATTTCAGTACTAACTGTAAATGAATTACCGACTGTACAGGCAGTTACGGTATTACGTTTAATGTTAAAAGTTACCTAGAAACTAAAAACAAGACAGCAGGGTGCTGCAAATATTTTTTCCCACTTGCCCTTTTGGGCAAGTGGGTTATGAAACTGGTTGCCCGAAGGCAAAAGTCACTTGCCCGAAAAACATAAAGAAATACATAAGATTTTTTTCTAATATGAATTTAAATGGTAAATAACGTAAATGAAGGTCCAACTAGTCAACATCCAGCATTTCACTTAACGGCACGGTAGAAAGTTGAACAGCTGATACGAGTTTGTATACAAAATATATTCATGTTGGGACACAGCACGCAGTTTGTTTAAATTTTTTAATTTTTTAAGTGTCAGCTAATTATCAACAAGAGCCGCAGAGCATCTGGGGTCATCTGAGGTCTGTTGCTACTTGCTACAGTTATAAACGTAACATTTAAGTCGTGCGTAGTGACACCTTTGTTAGGCGCAGATATGCAAATACGCAGTTGCGTACACATCATTTCAGCAACCTTCTGCATTCTGCATACCTCCCAAATCCCATTGGTTGATACAAATCGCGTGCCTGAAACTCCTGTTTTATGGTGCATTGTGACCCTAACCCTAACCCTATTAAAATAATAATAATTTAATTGTTGTAAAAATTATTTGTTGTTATGAAATTGTTGTAAATAAATCATGTAAATATTTGTCTTAATTGGAAAGAAATAGTTAAATAGATAAAAGATAGAAAAATACAGAAAACAAGTAAATAATAAAAAATCTGATGGGATTCGATTCAAGGACCTTTGAGTCGTAATCCTGTGCTGTAGCCGTTGGGCTATCGAGGCATATTGGCTTTCCAGATTATGGATGTTCCATGAATATGAGAACACTGTGAAATCATTGAGGCAGTTCAGGAATCCATGTTTAACCCTCCTCTTGAGGGTCAAAGGGTTATCAGACACTTACTCTTCTCCACGTCAGTGGTAAGTACATTTCATGGTCCTTTCAATAAAGTCATAAAAATGGTAGGTCAGTGCTGAAACAAAAAAGTTTTTCACTCTGTCCATTAGGCCATGTCCTCAAAAAATGTCTGATATCTGACCTTTCCCCCACTGCCCTTTGACCTCTAATTTCGCACTGGTGATGGGTTTCCTGCCCATCACACTATACACCGAATATTAAGAGTCGAGCCGTTCAGATTTGTGCCGCAATTCCGTATTTCCTCCTATACCTTGAGTTAAGGGGGAAATATTCCCCCTCCGTTTACACATCTTGACCTTTGACCCTTGACCCCCCAAATCGGTCATCCCGAGTCCTTTTCATGATCCCACCCGACGTCCCAAATATCGTGACCGTACGTTGAGTGGTTAAGATTTGTGCCCAACTGTTGACGCTTGCACGCACGCACGCTCATGCGATTCTACAAGCTGCATCTGAGTACGTCAGATGAGCTAAAAACCCACCACACTCTCACAATAAATTAATAAAATATGTTCACGTTTATTTGGGGCTGGATCGTATTATCTTAGCAACACTGCGCCGGTGGCCGACTTGCCTCGCAGCGCCATCTAGCAAGTCAAGTTTTTGATACAACCCCATTTCAAGCTACTTGCCCAGGGGCGAATTTTGATTGCCCCGGGCAAGCGGGTTTGTCGCGCCCTGGACAGTGGTATCCTGAATAAGGGAATCAATTCTCCTCTCTATATTAATCTGTTTGGTAATTTCTGGAGAAGCAGACTCACTATGCTTCTGCTTGGATATTTCTGGAGAAGCAGACTCACTATGCTTCTGCTTGGATATTTCTGGAGGGACAGACTCACTATCTTTCTGTTTGGTAATTTCTGGAGGGGCAGACTCACTATCCTTCTGCTTGGATATTTCTGGAGGGACAGACCCATCATCCTTCTGCTTGGATATTTCTGGAACAGACTCACTATCATCTTTTTTAGGTACCTCTACAGGGGCGGAGCCAATTTCCAAATGTTTGGATATTTCTCTATGTGTAGATCCACGTTCCTTCTCTTTGATAGTCTTGTTCTGGGGCAGTACTTCTTCCTGCTTATTTGCAGCAATTTGTTGTGTCGTTCCACTGTCATTATCTTTAGCCTCAGATTCAAGAGGTGGGATACTGCCACGAGAAAGTCTTGTTCGTCTTCTTCCTCTTGTGCGCTCATTCTCTTCACTTATTGGTACATGCTTCTCTTCCTTGTTGCTTGAATTGTTGTCAGGCAGTGTGCTACGCTCAAGTGCTACCTGTATAATTTGTACGCAAAATTTAAGTATCTGCGTGGAATTATCATGTAGGATATATTCAAGGATATTATATACATTATTCATTTAATCAAAATGTAATGGCTCAATATACATACCATGATGCTTCACCACTTCATTACTTTAATGACTTCATACTATAACCTTGTTGTGTGTATCATAAGCAAATAAACCAGAATGATTTATGTTACATCACCTGCACCAGCTCAATATATATATATAATTTATATATACAGTGGAACCCCGATTTTACGCGCCCCGATTTAACGCGAATTCGGATATAACGAGATGAGTCGTTGGACCTCCTTTTTTTGCTCTCATATAGCCACGTATATATATAACCCCGATTTAGTGCGACACCGCTTTTTTCGCGATGACATTTTATGGACCCCAACCATCGCGTTATAACGGGGCTACACTGTATATATATATATATATATATATATATATTTATATCTGTGTGCGTGCACGCGTGCGTGTGTATAGTAACACCCATCTTCCCAAACGTGCAGACAGATACCTCAGCATCCTCTTTTCTAGGTGTGCTATCCTGTCTTGACCGTCGGCGCTGCTTAGCAGGAGGGGCTGTAGGAGTAGTGGGCGTGCTTGTACCTGCCTCTTCAACCGACTCCTCACCATGATCTGTACCCGACTGAGCAGACTCCTCTGCAATAGTTGGATACCATAGGTGTACAAACACTGCATCATTATTATATACCTATAGGCTTCCTTTCCTCTAGACGATCGCCACGGTCCTCTTGGCGAAAAAAAGTGCAGTGGCTTAAAAAATGTGCATTGTGGCTAAAAGGATAAAGCACATGCTGGCAAAAGGAAATAAACAATTACTTTGAGACTGTTTTATTGGCCAAATGCTCAAGAATGTTTTCAGGGTCAGCTGACCCTCTGGCCTAATTTTTGGGGGTCAGCACTCAGCAGCACTCAGTCAGCATTATCAGTTCGGCATGTTTTGGGATTGATCCCTATTTAATGTCTCAATAAACTGTTCAATCCATATTGTGTTGTGTGTTATTGTCTGAGTTTCTCAAACAAAGTGTGGCTAATGAGTTGCTTTTGTGGCTAAAAGTTTTTATGGTTCATTTAGCCACGGTGGCTAAGACTAAATTACTGCTAGAGGAAGCCTAGTATACCACTATTATTTAAATTTTACACATAAAATGGGATATTGTGAAAATAAGTGAGTCGATCAAGGAATATTCTTACGACGCAGAATGCTTTGTTATTTTTTACATAATGAAGATACTTATAATTACAAATATTTTTCTAACATCATTAATCTTAAAATCCAAAAGTATTACCTTCCTCCATTTTTCGTTTTTGTTCCTTCTGAATTTCGAAGGTCTTCTGCTGCTGTGCCAAATATTGCTTGATGAAAACATTCTGTCCGAATTGCTGATCTTTAAGCTATAAAAAATAACAAGTCTTATAGGTGTAGCATATATATAAAGACCAAGCGACCAAGAATAATTTCAGTACTAACTGTAAATGAATTACCGACTGTACAGGCAGTTACGGTATTACGTTTAATGTTAAAAGTTACCTAGAAACTAAAAACAAGACAGCAGGGTGCTGCAAATATTTTTTCCCACTTGCCCTTTTGGGCAAGTGGGTTATGAAACTGGTTGCCCGGAGGCAAAAGTCACTTGCCCGAAAAACATAAAGAAATACATAAGATTTTTTTCTAATATGAATTTAAATGGTAAATAACGTAAATGAAGGTCCAACTAGTCAACATCCAGCATTTCACTTAACGGCACGGTAGAAAGTTGAACAGCTGATACGAGTTTGTATANTTCACTCCTGTCTTTATTATGTCTGGAAATAATATATGACATAGTATTGCGAAAATTAAAAAATTACGATGCATATCATGTTCATATTTTCCTTCAGTGTGGCTTCAAAGCTAATATATTCTTGGTACCGAGTCGCCCGTTATAGTTCAAAATTACCATTATCGGAATAAGCTATATAGGATTATGGAATTGCTAAAACAAAATAAAATTATCGAAATAAGCTAAGATTATGGAATTGCTAAAACAAGATTATTTCCGTTGCAAATATGCAGAGGGCAGACTTTGTCTGATTTTCTATGAGCGTTTGAATTTGTGTACACAACATGTATTTTGTTAGCTCTAAAATTCTTACGTGAATACCTTTGTAATTTTACCTCCTGCTAGCTCACCATACCTCTTTTCACCTCACTCTACCTCCTACCAGCTCACCATACCTCCTACCAGCTCACCATACCTCCTACCAGCTCATCATACCTCCTACCAGCTCACCATACCTCC